ACAATTCATGACCATCAATGAAAGATAGATTCTCAGAGCAATTTCGGTATTAAGTGTCCTTCAGCTGAACAGCAAAATTCAGTCAGAGAAACAGCATGGGAAACGCATCACTTCAACGTTACATGCTAAGAATTTTGTGGATCACAATTACGACAGTTTTGTAAATTTTAGGATACTCTAAATGTGGGGGGCCCCAAATGTGGGGGGCCCGGGGCACGTGCCCCTGTTGCCCCGCCCTTAATCCGCTAGTGGATGTGTGGTTTGGATAATCTAGCAGACATGGCGAAGCAAAATTAGTGATTAGGCCTACTCTATCATTGCACGCTGACGAGGAAACTTGGACCGGTGCTGACATCTCGCGGCCGCGTTCTTCATCTCGTGTCTAAGCGTTGCATCGAAATTTTGTTTCCTATGTTATAATTCCAATGTTATATTTCGGATCTATCTTGGTTAATTTGTACTTAACCGTGTTGATTCAAAACGTACTGCTGACGTTTCGCCTCCTATCAGGAAGCTTTTTTTAAGCTGACTGAAGTTATCAGATTTGACCACCAGATGGTGTAGTGGTCAACAGCTTGGTCCCCACGTGACTGAGTCTGTATCCCCCTCGTCACGGTTGATGTTCGAGGTCTGTGCGGATCCAGATGGCTTCCTTAATCCAACGCCTGATTTTTATTGGCTCGCGATCGATAATTTTCGAGTTATCCCAATCGATGGTGTGATTTGGCGGTCGCTACGTGGCCCGTGATCATGGATTTGGTTATTTCGGTAGCCGACTGTTTTTAAATTGGGCCCTTGTGAAAGATTTAGGCGCTACGGTGTCTACGTCCTTTCCATGTTCTTTAAGGCGGGTTTCAAATTTGCGGCCGGTTTCTCCAATATAACTTTTCCCACACATAGCACATGGTATCTCGTAGACACAGTCTGTAATGTTGGGTATATCTTGTGTTATATTTCGGTTATACTCTGAAGCAAACTCAGAGTAATTTAAAATTTAACTACAAGTACAAGGATTCGCACGAGAGCCATGCCTTGCAACTGATGTATGGCGCGTATTAACTCGTAATATAGTAAATATTCACAAAAATCTTTCCATCGGTATTCAGCCACGGACGCCCGCGCTGTGATTGCTAATACGGGCGCCAACTATAACTAGTAAAAATCCATAATAACATACCATATAACCTAACAATCCATAATATACTAATAACCAATATACTTGTTACGAATTCGTTGTAAATCGCCAGAGAATATACCACCACCACGTCACCTTCAATATGTTCAATTGTATACTCTGTGCGTTTGGTTCTCTCCGCAGGAGTTGTGTACGGAGCTGTGGTGCATCAACTACCAGGGTAGATGTGTAACGAACAGCATCCCCGCTGCTGACGGCACTAACTGCTCGACGAGCCGCACACAGGACGGAGTGAGTGCGCACCTATATAGATCTATAGTCACTACAGCAGTCAGTGCACTACGTAGTAGTAAAGTTAACAGCGAGTGGGTTAGTACTAGTTGCTGTGGCAATGAGTGAACCAACGCTAGCTACTGTAGCAGGGAGAGAGATAGCTCTAGTTACTGTAACAGTGAGTGAGATAGCTCTAGTTACTGTAACAGTGAGTGAGTTAGCTCTAGTTACTGTAACAGTGAGTGAGTTAGCTCTAGTTACTGTAACAGTGAGTGAGTTAGCTCTAGTTACTGTAGCATGGAGAGAGATAGCACTAGTTACTGTAACAGGGGGAGAGAGAGAGAGATAGCTCTAGTTACTGTAACAATGAGTGAGTTAGCTCTAGTTACTGTAGCAGGCAGTGAGATAGCTCTAGTTACTGTAACAGGCAGAGAGATAGCTCTAGTTACTGTAGCAGGCAGTGAGATAGCTCTAGTTACTGTAACAGGCAGAGAGATAGCTCTAGTTACTGTAGCAGGCAGTGAGATAGCTCTAGTTACTGTAACAGGCAGAGAGATAGCTCTAGTTACTGTAGCAGGCAGTGAGATAGCTGTAGCCGCTGCAGCAGTCACAGCACAACGTATTACACAGCGAACAAGGAGGGAGTCAGCTAACGCTAGCCGCTGCAGCAGTCACTGCACAGTATAGCGTAATGTAACTTCTACGTTCGTAGTAAGGGGCGTTAATGTGACTTCTACGTCTTCGATAGTGGTGTTACCAAGGCGACTGCATTGCAAAAGGCTACCGACCGAGCGCCGTTGATGGAGGCTGGAGCGATTGGTCGTCGTGGGATATGTGCACGCGCACGTGTGGGGGCGGAGTTGAGAAGAGCCAACGCAACTGTGACAAGCCACGGTAAGGATTGTTAGTACAACATACTGCCATCCAATCTCATTCTTCAGTGGCTATATCAGTAAAGTAGTATAGTACACTGCCATCACACATCATTGTTTAGGGGCCGTGATAGTAAATCAGTGCACCGGCCGTTTACCGTTTACCGTTTAATGTTCAATTATAAGCGCAGTTACATAACAAGCGCTGTTAATCTGTTCTCTAATCACGCCCTATATATATATATGCGGTCGAAGAAACATCAGTTAATTATTATTTTGCAATATATTTCACTTTCTTTCTATATGCTTACTTGCAGGCCGATGAATGATGGGAAATACTGCCTCGGCGAAAGAGTTCGCTATCGTTCATGCAATGCGCACGATTGCCCGATAAATTCGACGGATTTCCGAGCTATTCAGTGTGCCAGCTACAACCACATCCCGTTCAGAAAGGTTTACTACAACTGGGTGCCGTTTACTGGAAGTACGACATTGTTTACTATAATCGATATAATCAATTGATTAATGTTTTTCGTGGCAATCGTTAATTAATGAATTCGCGCCACATGTCTAGCAGCCGTTTATTTTAATTCTTTGTGCCTATCGTGTGTATTTTTCATCGGAAACATATATTATTAAGCGATATAATCAAATGATTAATTGATTAATTAATTAATTAAAAATATATGTGAGCATAATGCTAATAAACCCATCCGTCTGGAGTGATTGACAAGTAGCTCTAGCCAACCAGCATCGCGATAGGGGCGTTCTAAAAAATATCGCGTAGTACAGTTTTCACAAGTGCAGGTAAAATCGGCAATTCGGCGACATAGCAACGATATCTAATAGATTGGCGTGGTTACCTCGCTCGAACGGACAGCAGAGTGAGATATATGTGTAGCGTGGAATATATCACGAACGTAAAAAAGTGATACGTAGCAGTCGTATAAGCGGTGACAACTACAGTTTATGCTAAGTACAGACACAGACAGACGCAGCATTTTTACTGTGCAAAGTGTGTAAGTGCAAATTTTAAGTTAATGTGCTTCACGACTTAGGTGGCCGTTCCTTGTACGGCCAACGTGCTATTAACGAGGTAGCTAATGTCATCTGTGTCCGCCTCCGGCCGTCCCCGTAAATCTGCATCACTAATGTATTCAAATTCTCTATGTCTCTATGCCGACGTTGAAACGCCGTATTATATATGCAATAATGCTCAATGCTTACACGTAGGCCAGGTGAAACCGTGCGCGCTGAATTGTCTGGCCGACGGACACCACTTCTACACTGAGAGGGCGCCAAAGGTCATCGATGGCACGCGGTGCTATCCCGGACAGCTGGACATGTGCGTCAATGGAGACTGCAAGGTCAGCGTGCGTCACCGCTTACATAAAGACACCAACGAAAATAGTTTATAAAACATCATCAGTAACAATAATAGCGACGTCGACGACGACAGCGACGCCGACGACAACAACGAGGACGATGACAATGATGACGGTAAAGAAGACGACGGGGAGATATGGAAGAGTAACAACACCAATAACAGCAGCAGCAGCAGCAACAACAAAAACAACAACATCAACAACAACAACAACAACAACAACAACAATGACAATAACAACGACAACGACGACGACGTTATCGTGCACGACATTATTCCCCCCCGCATTGACAGCAATTTCTAACTATAATCGGTAATACTATCGATAAATTCAAATACGCTAATAATGTGCGTGCGCGAAAAGCAGTCGGTTTTATTTCGACGAAAAGTTACAGATGTGTTCCGGTATTAACCTTCCTTCACTATACAATCTCGCGTACGTCATTGCTTTTGTAGACCGTTGGTTGTGACGGCATTCTCAACTCTAACACCGTCGAGGACAAGTGTAGAGTCTGCGGAGGCGACGGCAGCACGTGTAGAACCATATCCGGAGAAATAGATAGCATTTTGCCGCAGGGTGGTAAGTCATTATTTCCGTCAGCAATCCATGAGAGCGAAACTGCAGTGCTTGCGTTTCAATATCTATACTGCTCAACGCGTCTCCTTATAAGAAATTGATATCTTTTCATAACGCTTCTTATAGTAGTAGGATATATTGACTTATTCCTGATTTTATGTGTCTTAAACTGTATCTGTAATGTTGAGTTGTTACCCGTGATCGTCTAGGGTTCCTGCGTAAATTATTAGATATACCGCTGTACGCATTATACATGAATTAGCCAACACTGAAGGTACGTATTTCAAACACACACATATTTATTGGTCGGGAATGACGGTAACATATATATGCCCGTAATAGTGAACACTGAACAGTAGTGTACAGCTGTGTACGCGACATACAAACATGAACTTACATATGTATAGTAGTCTTCGTCAACGGTGAAACAGTACGGATATCGCTTGCCACGTTCGTAGAGTCAGAGTGCAAATAGTAGAGACTGCCCGCTATCTCCGTGCTGCGTGCACAACTGTTATATATATACTGCGCCTTCCTATTGTTTTAGGTTCTGGTCACGCTGCATGCTCACGCTGCATGAATGGTTCGCTGCATGGCGTACGAGGTCAGCTGCGCGTTTACACAACAGGCTTGTCCCGTACTCTGACTACTTAGGTTATTATGCAATTATCCTATTTCTATCTATTTGACTATTTCTGTATTACATTACTCCCTCACCATATGACAAGTTGGGAGCCGTACTAATGCGGCGAACAACTTCTGTCAACGTTGTGATGCATTGCTTTTAATACGTATATTTTTAACTTTTTTTTTTTTTTTTTTACCGGAAAGACTAAATTATCGGTGCATCTAAACTTTACTTTTCTCTATTATCTATTCCTTCCTTGTTTTGCTTCTTTATGGCTATGCATTATGCTATTTCATTTTTATTTTGTTACTTAAAACACCTCCACCTAATTTTACTTAACTAAATTAACTAAAATTTACTTTAACTAACAATGGATTTTTATTTTACTTTATATTCTATTAAACATTATTTTCTGTTATATAATAATAAACAATCTAGCGCAGTCGCCGTCGTCCTCGTGGTCCGTTGGTGTGGGGTCCGTGTCGTCGCTGTGGTGGTCGTCGTCTCGTGATCGTCGTCGTCGTCGTCGTAGCTCGTGTGCACTGGCGGTGCTCCACTGGGCTTCGGGTCCCAGTTGTAAAAGTCCTCCTCGTCGTCGTTGTCCTCGCTGTCGTCGTGGTCGTCGTGGTCGTGGTTGCGGTTGTCCTCGTGGCGGTCGGCACCCCGTTTGCGGGTAGGGTAAACTGACTCGCCCAGAATCGTTTGTGGGGTGGCTCTCCTTGTGAGCTCGGCTGCTGGTTGGGGCGGCGAGCTACGTAACTGTCGATATGAGGTGTTTCGTCACTGTCGCTCTCGCACCACACTATCATGCCTTCTTCGTCGGTTGGCCACCTGTTGATGCCGCATCCCTCCATCATAATGGTGCTGGTCGGGACTGCAGGTGCTCAGAAGAGGATAGGTTAACGTAACATGTAATTACAACGGTGATTAGTGGCACTTGACAATAGCGTGCTTAAAACAATAAACAATGCATTTAAAATATGTGAGTTTGTGCGTCGTAGCAAATATTGTGCTAAACATGGTGTAACATACCGTGTAATATAGTGAATACATATAGTGCATTATCGTGAATCATACACGTACGGTGCGTGATACAAACATGTGTTTGTTAATTACCTAGTGACACAATACATCGCACGTACATCATTGTCCTTATAACTACGGTGTATTCTAGTCTGCAGACTTCTTAGCATAACTCTTAGTTTCCTCTCAATTTTATCGATATTATCGGCGCTCGCAAGTAAGCAACCTTCGATTTACTCTATCATCATCAATCATTTCATCATCAATCGTGGCGGAAGGAAGGGGTCGCGTTGGAGATGGGCTGTAAACCCGTTTGAAAGGTGGGCTGTACAATGGTGTGGGTGCACATAGGATATGGAACAACTGAAAGACAACATTGTTTCGTATACGCTCGCTCAGACACATCGAAGTTGAGCCCACTCCCCCTGTGCTCTGCGCATGCGCTTGATAAGCGGCAGGTTATTAGGAGCTTTTTGTTGGCTAACTATCTATCACTGGTCTATATTAGCAGTGACGCCGTTATAACAATGTTATCTTAGTTGTGGGCGGGTGGCTGGGCGGGTTAGTTGTGGGTGGATACGCGTTCATCTGGACTCGGTCGTATTGTGTGCCACGTGCGTAGATCTCATTATGTGTAGCGTGGCTGTCAATAATGTCTTGGACCCTCAAGACATCATTGCCTGTCGCGTGTTGCTTGTCTCGCCTTCCCACTCACGTAGTCCTTGATCAGAGGTCTCCAAGTGGGCGCTTGACGTAGATGTTTACTGCAACTGCGGTGCTACTAACCTCGCTAACGGTAAGAGATCGCTATCACTATAGCTACTTTCGAAAGAAGCTCTTTGTCTTGGCCGAATGGCTTCATCATCCGCATCATAATCCTCCCTGTGGAAGTAGGTGTCGCTCATCGTAGACTAGGCTAGCGTTGCCTGTCGCAGTGGCTGCTTTCTAGTGGCCTTTGCCGTTGCACTCTCCCTAGGTGTGGCTTCCTTGCTGGCTTCAGCAATGGCTTCCGTTATGGCTTCATTCTCGGAATCCGAGTCGTGATCGGATGTGTAGGTGTCCCTCATCACAGGGTACTCAAGCTTGTCCCGGCGGCTGCCTCATTGTAGGCTTTGTGGACGAACTCGCAATAGGTGTGGCTTCCTCTTATCATCTTATCGGTATATCATAGCCTCTTGTCATTATCATATCATATCATTATCATTATCATATCATTATAATCTTATCATCGTATCATCACATCGTATCATCACATCGTATCATCATATCATCTTATCATCTTATCATCTTATCATCTTATCATCTTATCATCTTATCATCGTATCATTTTATCATCTTAAACATGCGAGGTACCAAGGCGTCTTGCTAGCCTTGCTCCACTGCGCGCGCGCTCGTTAAACGATGCACTGTCCATTACGCCAGGCCGAGTGACCTCTCACAGACTGGTTTTGCTTGTGCGCTGACCGCTGGTGTGGCAGTGTTGACCGACACAATAGAGTGGACATTAGCTACTTGCATACGGCGGCGATTATGCAACGTGCTTGCAGAATGAGGGCATGAGTGAGTTGACGAAAGACTTGTAGTGGCAACCTTGTACTGGGTGGCCTCGACAACATAGGAGGGGTAGTAGGTGTTATAAACAAAGGTGTAGCATAGTTGTGCCTCTCATGCCACATAGCGGCCTAAATTGTGGGTTGAACAAAGGAATAACGGTACGCATGTTTCGGGTAGGGCCACGGTGGAGGATTACGGTTCGCCATGACGAAAACAGTGATATGGTTAGACCAAGGAGGGGAACGAGTGAAAATACAAGACAAATTTGCCAGAGCGTGCATAATACGTAGGCAGTGGCGTGATGAGTAACATAAATAAAGGCTTGATATCCACGATATCATATAGTATACGGCACAGGCTCGGCCAAAATATGCAGGAGCAATCGCATGAGAAAACACAGAAATATGCAGACATTACCTCCGTAGCTATTTATAAGAACTACGATGTACTTACAAAATGATGCGACGATAGTAGTGAACAAGCTGTCGATCTGCTGAGATTGTACACGTCGGGTTCCTTGAGTGTGTCGATGGATATCTCAAGACAAAGGCACATGGGTTAGCACTGACATATAACAGATAAACAATTCTCAACAGTTACGAAATTCATTTAGTAACATACGCGCTGGGCACCTAGTACCATTGTAATGCGTACAACGATGGTGGTAGTGATATGAGTGACTTCGAATCGTGCGCTCTCGTCACTGCAGCTCGTCGACTCACAATCTCACAAAGAAAACACATGTTAATAATAATACATAAAATACAGCACATAATTCATGCTACAACGATATATCGATACGCAGTGGTCACGTGCACCATTGTAATGTTGAGTTGTTACCCGTGATCGTCTAGGGTTCCTGCGTAAATTATTAGATATACCGCTGTACACATTATACATGAATTAGCCAACACTGAAGGTACGTATTTCAAACACACACATATTTATTGGTCGGTAATGACGGTAACATATATATGCTCGTAATAGTGAACAGTCGTGTACAGCTGTGTACGCGACATACAAACATGGATACTTTACTTGTTAGGAGTCTCGTCAACGTTGAAAACAGTACGGATATCGCTGGCCACGTTCGTAGAGTCAGAGTGCAAATAGTAGAGACTGCCGCTATAAATTATATCCCGTGCTGCGTGCACACTGTTATATATACTGCGCGCCTTCCTATTGTTTTAGGTTCTGGTCACGCTGCATGCTCACGCTGCATGAATGGTTCGCTGCATGGCGTACGAGGTCAGCTGCGCGTTTACACAAAAGGCTTGTCCCGTACTCTGACTACTTAGATTATTATGCAATTATCCTATTTCTATCTATTTGACTATTTCTGTATTACATATCGCACACATACTACGATACGCATACTACGATAACGCATACCCACGTACAATCGAGACGTAGCTCGGAATGCACACGCGTAACGTATAGTACGTCGTCATGACATTTTGATCACTAAATGGGTTTTTGAGCTTGGTTTGAACACGAAGGCTCGAATCGTAATTCAAGCCTTGCTGATGGAATACATTCATGGAGAGTCGCTTTTCCGTTAACGAGCAGACTCACTGGCTAGAGCACTTGTTCGGAATTACACTCACCGCATTTAACTCGCTCTCGCAGGCTACGTCGAAGTCATACACATTCCTAAAGGCGCCGTATATATAGACATTCGAGAGGTCGGAACCACGCGCAACTATCTGTCCCTGAAGACGACCGGTGAGAAATACTACATTAACGGTGCGTGGACCATCGACTGGCCCCGGATGTTTGAGGTCGCCGGAACCGTATTCGAATACAAGCGACCGGAACACACTCCGGAAGTGCTGACGGCGCGCGGACCGACGACAGAGGATCTCGTCGTCATGGTAACTGAATTCGTTAACTGTGTTACTCATGGGAGGGTTTTTTTTGCATCAGGTGAACACGTCTGTGTTCTAGTACATACATATGTCCATGCTATTACCCCATTCGCGCTTGTTCTGCATGTAGTTTGTACTTGAGTCTGACGACAAATAGTTGACAATAATTGTTGACAGTAGCATCTACGAAGATAACTATTATATATATATATTACTATTACTACAAACATTAACATGACCAATGTGTACAACAACTGTAAGGTGAGACGATATAACAATGCTATATATGTTGTTGAATGCAAATAGTTGTTGTCATCAGCTACAGAGATTATCTTCGTGATTAAATGTCAACTCTGCATGGTCGCTTCTAATACTTTAATCACAAGTAAATACTAGTATGTTAACGATCCATCGCGTGGAAACGAGCATCGGAGTTTGTTTGGCCTTTGCAATTAATTGCAATTGAATTCGTATTGGATGTGAACATGAAATTTCAGGTCCTCGTTCAAGAACTCAAAGTGGCCGTTCGTTACCAGTACAACATACCTGTGGATAACGACAGTGGCGAACCTGTGAAATACTCTTGGCAGTACACACTTTGGACAGAGTGTTCTCAGTCGTGTGGCTCTGGTAACTATAACTATTTAGATTGCAAAAGGAAATGGTTAGTAACTTTTAACGCTCGTCCCGGTAAATTTGACTTATGACGAATAATTACGTACAAATGAGGATAGTAATAGTAATAGACTACGCTATAAGAAAAACTCGCTACTCTTTCTCTCTCTCTCTCTCTCTCTCTCTCTCTCTCTCTCTCTCTCTCTCTCTCTCTCTCTCTCTCTCTCTCT